TCAAATCCATTACATTCTCATACATACTAATACCCTTGGGAAAAGTATGAATCCTCTTCACCTTCTCCCAACTATGGGTAAATGTTGTACCTATTCTATTGTAAATAGACTCTCCCACAGATAAGTAGTAGTAGTAGCAGCAGTCGCCAGAGTAGCTCAGTGAGTTGTGTGAGTCAGTCGATGTCGGACATTAAAGTATGAGCCCCACAACTAGATTGCTGGGTCATTAACTATTATTTCAAGTTCCTTACGTTTTGTACGTCGGACCTAATTTAGGACCGACTTAGTGAAATACAAGCCTCCACTGTGAAAACTACTCTACAACAGTAAATAACAGGTTCTATAGCCTTGGATGGCCACTAGTCTACTGCAGAAAGAAATGGCAACCTACTGTGGGAAAAATACTGTCTCGTCAGTCATGTATCAAAAGATACATGATCGCCTAAGCTTGAATCACGCATGGCACATAACTGAACTTATAACACCAAAGATAAGGAAAATACTATACATGTAAATAATGATAATTTATCATCCCAGAAATTTAGATAGAAAAAAATAATCTGCTATTGACATAATATAGGTATTGCCACCTGTTATCATATGTTTAATATAGCAAAAATTAAATAACATTAGAGAGAAAATATTTACAAATGCATTAAACATATTTGTGATTGCTTTTGCACAGTTTATTTAATATAATTTTCAGGGAAAAGCTACCATTTTTTTAAAGTCTTACAGTGACTTTTAAATTGTTTAATGTGTGTATGTTTCTATGTGTGTACATTTGATGATTACTCTTTATTGTGCTGGAGGGGAAAGTAATGTTGTCAGTAGTTCTAAACTATGAGTAGGGTCATTCTTGGTGACAAGGTGGAAGATTAAAACCTAGACTAAGTAGGACCAACCCCAAAGACCCCACCGGCAGAACAAGATGATGATTACTACAACAGATCTCAATGGTTGAACCAATAGATAAAGAGAGCTATACATGACAGACATGCTACAGAAAGTGCCATTCAAAATTATAACAGAGTCAGTGACAGTTCATTGTAGTTTCATAACTGGATTCTGCATGTCTCATTCCATATGTGCTGCAGAGAAAGGTCATAGAATCAAATGTGTGGGTCACTTCCTGGCAAGTTGATGACCACCTTAAAAAAAATGACACCATTGACACTTTCTTCTACTCTGATTTTCTTTCACCCCCAACCAATTCTTCCAAGATGATTGGAGAAGGTTTTAGGGAAACTGGGAGCTTCTAGTCCTGAACCTGCAAACTGGCAGCAAATTTAGTCATCAATGTTATCATCATAAAGGAAGCGATCAGCAAAGAAGTAATTAATTTCTTGGATACAAGATAAAGACCGTACCACTGACAGTGACTTTATTGATGAAACAGTGAATTCAGTCTAATTGGATTTGGTAACTCATTAAAAAATTCCACCCTGACAAAAAAATACTGGATTATATACGATATATCTCATTATTTGCCATTCAGTTTGGTTAGATAACAGAGATCCATACACAAAAATCAATTTATGAGTAACAGAAGGAAAATGAATGAATCAGATATCAATAAATGTTTTCAGAGACTGACAATGATTGATGGTGGCAGTTTAACTTTTAAAGTTGTCACAAAGTCAGTCTAAAGAAAAAAAAAACACAACTCTAATCAAATAAATTTCTTCGTAATTATGTAGTTTTCTTTTTCTTGTCAGAATCCATCTTGCATATTTATAAATCTAACATTCAGTCACACACTGAATATTTCTGCCATATCTGGTCTGCTACTCCTACTATATATCTCAAGATTCTTGACAAAATTCAAAGAAGGGTCTGTAATGTAATCGATCTTGACCTGGCATCTTGACTTCAGTCCTTTTCTCTTCATCAGGAAGTGGCTTCCCTCTGTCTTTTCTACTAATATTCTCATGGCAATTGTTCTGATGTTTTTCTCCTTGGTGCCTTGACTGCATAATTTTAAGCATGATAAAAGATTGACAACTAGTTATCATTGTTTTACTGTTAAACTAGCTAGATGCAACTGTATGTTCTATTCTAATAGTTTCTTTTCTCACCTGTGGAAATCCCTTCTGATTTCTTGCTTCCCTTCCAACTACAACCTTCAAAAGTTTAAATGCAACATCAATTGTCATTTTTCTTTTTGAATCATGTTCCTTTATTGTCCTTCCCATTCACTAAAGTTATCTCACTCTCTTTCACTTCCAGTAATCCCTTTCATCCGAGTGGCATTATTGCCTTTACTTGAGGTGTAATGATTAAAAAAAATAAAACAATACATCTTTGTATAATATGACATTGTTGGGTGGAGGACTTTCTGGACAGAAGTCAACAGCCAAGGTGGAGAATTTGTTTGATGGAATCAGTAACCATATGTCTGTTACCAAGGCAAACGCATCGGTAGTGGTTTGAGCTGGAAAAAGATGGGCTGCATCAGGTCTACTTGCTTTCACCTCAGATATGTGGAGAGAACTGATCAGGTGCTCACTTGCAAAGCAACCTGACAATGACACCTGCTCATGGGAATAAACGGTTTTTGTTTTCTATTTAATGTGATCATTACGCTAAGTATTTGTATCTACAAGGGTGCATATACCTGTGTGGTGTCATGGACACCAGAGATGGAGATCCATATTCATTGGGGCGTCAGAGTTCAAAGGGTTAATATAAACATTTGAAAATTATTCAGATGTTTCTCTCATGGTCAGTTCAATGTAACTATGTCCAGAGTTGGAAATTCAAGTGGACTTAGCATAATAACAGAAAGAAATTTAGAAAACCAAAGTCTTGTTGAAAATATTATTTATACAGAAATGTTAAAGTGGTAAAAGAAATTCAATCATAACATATTTTTGTGGGACTAGTATTTGGCTTTTTCTGTGTACCATGTCCCTTTCATGGAATTACCAATCATGGCTTTCCACAATTTCCTATCATTTTTAGCTCTTTGTAAATTTTGTCTTTTTTCTATCTCTCCAAAACCCTGTTCTGACATCCATTTACACAAGCTTGTTAAGTAGGCTATGCACTTTTTTTCTCTATTTCTCTTATCTTCAATATCCTATAAGTGTCAAATTCCCCAAGCCCTCTTTCCTCATTATGTTTTGTTTGAACACAAATGGCCGATATACTGGCCATTGTGTGAAAGTGCTTTTACATGGGCAGTCGGTAAACTAGTCAGAGTCATGGACAGCAGAGATGGACAGCAAGATCCCAGGGTGGGAGATCCATACTCCTCAGGTGATCAGGGTTCAAAGTTTAATATAAACTAGAAAATTATTCCAATGTTTCTCTCATGTTTAGCTTTATGTAGCAATCTCTAGAGTAAGAAATTTAAGTGGACTTAGCATAATGACAAAAAGCACTTTAGAAAATAAAAGTCTCACTGAAAATGTTGTTTATACAGAAATGTTAGAGAGGTAAGAGGACTTTGATGATAACATTTTTTTTTTTATTTGTAGGATGAGTATTTAGCAAATAATTAAAAAACAAATATCACTAATGAAGTGAAATTTATTTGGTTGGAAGAAAATTTCTTACAGTTTCTAAATAAATTCAATATTATATAAACTATAAAAACTTTCCTTTTAACCACATATTTCCTATAGATTAACCTTTTATTCCTATAGACCAAACCTCACATTCATAGAGAGCTGCCATCTCATTCTGATAGACCAACACTATCACTGCTATACACCAACACTATCATTCCTATAGACCTAACCTCTCATTCCTATAGAGAAAACCACTTGTTCCTAGAAGCCACCCCTCTTATTCCTATAAACCAACTCTATCATTCCTATTGATCAACACCATCAATCCTATAGACCCACATCTCATTCCTATAGACCAACCCTATCATTTTTATAGACCTCCCCTCTTATTCCTACAGACCAACCCTCTGTTGCGGGGCCGAGTAGGATGTCGCCCCCGCAAGGTTTTTTAAGTATACGATAAATGTGAACAGCCAAGACAATGACGGGACAAAGGCAAAGGTTTTTGTTATGAACAAAGGTGTCGTTTTTATTCACACATTTACATCGGTGTGGTCCGAAAACTGGTTAATCGACGAACGTAGCTGGTTCGGTCGATTGTAGCTGGTCTGGTCCGGTAGTTGGTATGGCCCGGTAGTTTAGGTTTGGTAGGCGAACGTAGTTGGTTCGGTAGAATGTAGCTGGTCCGGTCGAATGTAGTTGGTCTGGCCTGGTAGTTTAGGATTGGTAGGTGAGCGTAGCTGGTCTGGTCGAAAGTAGCTGGTCTGGCCCGGTAGTTTAGGATTGGTCGGCGAACGTAGTTGGTTCGGCCGAAATGCGAAGACGGAGTCCCTAAACAGGGCCAAGGCAGACCAGTGATGCTACTTCACAGGGCGGATCAACCGCGGGGAACGGGATCGCGCCAAAGTGTATCACCAGGCGAAGACGGAGTCCCTAAACAGGGCCAAAGGCAGACCAGTGATACAACTCCACAGGGCGGATCAACCGCGGAAACGGGATCGCGCCAGAGTGTATCACCAGGCGAGGTAGGTCAGAGAGGTGTTACACCTTCCAGGGCGGATCGACCGTGGAGACGGGATCGCGCCGAAGAGTAACACTCTCGACAAAAAGCACCGGAAGTTCACAAAGGTAGTGTACTACACTTTGATCCAGGCCTCCGGGCCGAGCTGCCTAGTTTGGGCGAAAAAAAAGTGTCTAAGGATATTTGCAAAGATTTGTTCAAGTACTCCCTGGCTAGAGGAGTAGAAGGCCGTAGATAATAAATTATAGTCTATGGTTGCCGATGTTTAGAATGGCTCAGCATAGTCAGATGCGTACTAGGTATGGTTTGACATCAACGATATTGGACTAGCCGTCCGGTTTCTGGCCTGTTGCTTGACCTAGATCTGCGAGATCGAGAGTTGTGAAGGTCAAGGTCGGCTTTGTAAGGAGCGGATAATCGGCGACCGCGACAAGGCCCTTCCCCTAGAAAATTGATCGTATCAATTAATAATAATAATATTTACGAAGGTCTTTAGGGAAAGTGACCCTCCTACCGGATCGGGTCTGCCGCACAGGAGTCGCTGGGGTGTCGTTTGATGTCTGCGGTGCTGCGTCTGATGGGTGCGCTGGAATAGCATTAGGGGGCCGCAGAGCCGGGTTTGCGTCATACTGTCGCTTCTCCAGAAAAGCAGGCTTGGTCCGATCGATTGCGATGGTGTCGGTCGAGTTGGCGCTTTGATCGTAAAGGTGCTTGTCGGTGCGTCGAAGAACCTGAAAAGGACCTTGGTATGCCGGCGTGAGTGGTCGTCTCACGGCGTCGTTCCGTACGAAAACGAATTTGCAATCTCGCAAGTGTTGAGGGATGTACAATTCACCGGTTGCTGTCGTGGAGTTGCATATTTAAGCCGGGCCATTTTGTGGCGGAGTTCCTCGACGAAAGGAGATGTTGGTTTTGAAAACGTCTGAAGGAGTCGTCGAAGTATTCGCCGGGTAGCGCAAGAGGTGTACCGAAAACCAGTTCGGCGGGTGAACAACCTAAATCCTCCTTTACGGTGTTCCTCAATGCTAGGAGAATTAAAGGTAGGTCGTCCACCCAATTGATAGTGTCAGGTCTAGTGGCCAGGGAGGTTTTAAGGGACCGATGAAACCTCTCAACTAAGCCGTTGGCGCACGGATGATAAGCGGTAGTCTTTATGTGCTTGGCGCCAAGTAGGTTGGTAAACTCCCGAAAAAGGGACGACTGGAACTGTGACCCCCTGTCGGTCGTGATAACGTGTGGCGTGCCGAAAGTTCTAATCCACTCTTTCAGGATGGTCCTAGAGACTGTGTTAGCAGAAGTGTCTTTTATAGGTATGGCGGTCGGCCACCGCGAAAAACGATCCACAACCGTCAAAAGATACTGGTAATCCTGACACATCGGAAGCGGTCCCACTAAGTCGACATGTATGTGTGAGAACCGTGCATCGGGACTGCTGAAGGTGCCGACGGGGATTTAGTGTGTCGGTGGACCTTACACTTCTGGCACTCCATGCACGTGGAAACCCATTCTCGAATGTCCGCATTCATATTGGGCCAAACGAATCGGTCGGTAATAAGTTTGACCGTAGCTCGCTTACTTGGATGAGACAGCCCGTGGAAATGTTGGAATACCTGTCTCCGAAGTGTCGGTGGGATGTAGGGCCTAGGGCTTGCTAGGCTGGTGTCACAGTACAGGGTGTCGTCGCTGAAGGATGCAGGGAACTCCCGAAGCTTTAAAGAAGTATTCGAAAGGACGTCTTGCAGCGTGGGGTCGGATTTTGTTCAGCGGCTATGGAATCTTGACCCAAGACGCCGGTCTGAAGAGATTGAATTTCCGCTCGCGATAATGTGTCTGCGACGGCGTTGTCCTTCCCTTTATGTGACGAATATCGGTCGAGAACTGTGACAGGTAGTCGAGATGCCGGATCCCGCGAGCTGTATACTTGTCAGAGTTGTTACTCATCGCGGTTGTCAACGGTTTATGGTCGGTATAGATGGTAAAATCTCGACCTTCCAGTAAGTGCCTGAAATGCCTGACGGCCAGATAAATGGCCAGCAGCTCTCGGGAGAAGGTGCTATATTTTTTCTGGGCTGGCGAAAGCTTGGCTGAAAAAAGAATGCGATGGGTTCGCGTTGTGAGTTGAACTCTTGCTCAACCACCGCGCCCACACCAGCGTCGGATGCGTCGGTTGTCAGGAATAGTCGTGTCTCTGGATCGTCGTTGATATGCGAGAGCCTGGTATAATTCGCCAATGCAGCCTTCGCTGTATGGAATGCGTGCAGAGCATCTCCTCCAAAGAGATGTCCTTGTTTCTTCTCTGCAGCAGGTTCGTCAGTGGCTGGAGGATGGTAGCGCAATTTGGTATGAACCGACGATAAAAATTGAGCATGCCGAGGAAACGTCGCAATTGCTTCATGGACGTCGGGTGTAGGAAAGTCCCGGATCGAGCTGATCTTGTCTGGCAGAGGTGCTATGCCGTCTGCGTCGGTGTGGTGCCCGAGAAAGTCAACGCTGGGCGCCCCGAAAACGCACTTGTCCAGGTTCAACTTCAGGCCGTAGTGCGAGAGTCGCTGGAAGACTTCTCGCAGGTGTTGTCTGTGAGAATCGGCGTCTGTACTGGCCACCAAGATGTCGTCGATATAGGCGTATACATGCGGAAGTCCGCGCAGGACTTCGTCTATGAGTCGTTGGAAGGTCTGGGCAGCGTTACGTAGACCGAACGGCATTTTTTAGAAATTCGTATAGGCCAAACGGTGTTGTGACTGCCGTTTTGGGACGTCTTCCGCAGCGACGGGGATCTGGTGGTATGCCTTTGTCAGGTCGATTTTCGAGAAGATGCGAGCCCCATCAATCCGGATGCAAAATCATGGATATGAGGGACAGGATATCGGTCTGGTACGGTCGATGCATTCAATTTCCGGTAGTCGACGATATCCGAAATTCTTCACCACCAGGTTTAGGCACTAAGTGTAGTGGCGAGGCATAAGGGCTATCGGAAGGACGAATGATGCCATCACTGAGCATTTTGTCGAATTGCTCCTTGGCGTACGCCAGTTTGTGCGGAGCGAGTCGTCGCGGATGGGAGTGTGCGGGAGGACCTCGGGTTCTGATGTGGTGCTGAGTCTGATGGTCACCTGAAGCCGTTACTTGGAGTGGCAGCGTTATATCCGTGAACTGCGTCAGGAGATCTAAGTACTCGCGACCATGGCATGTTGCGACGCTGATTCCTGTGGAGCCTTGACGTAGGGGTACCTAAGACACGGAGATTCGTCGTCGTATCGGACAGAGTCCTAGGGTTCATATGGACCGCCAGTGCGTAATGCGCCAGGAAATCCGCGCCGAGGATGGGTACCTTCACGTTGGCCACGGTAAATGTCAGTGAAATCGCGTCGCATGCCGATATTCAAAGTAAGGGTCCTTTCTCCGTACGTGTCTATTCGCGGAACCATTCGCTGCTCGTAGTTTGATCAGGGTGGGCTTAGCGGTGTGGTCGTTCTGAAGGGGTACCACGCTGATGGCCGCACCTGTGTCCACCAGGAATTTCAACTTGTTCCGTCGATCCCAAACGTAAAATAGACGACATTGCGTGTTGGCACCGGAAGAGTTAGTCGTCGCGACTCTCCGGTTTATTCGTTTCCCCGGGCCGACGGGTGTGTACGGGAGGTTTACAATTCCTGGCCTCATCGCCGAATGTGCGATGAAACCAACAAACACCCTGGTCGCTTCGCCGTTCTCGGCTGGGGGTTCGTCTCCGTCGAGATGGGGTCTATGTCCTCGTCCGCGGGCGCAGGGAGATCTGGAGCTCCTGAATTTGCCGTTGAAGTTCGGCCAACGCCCGTTCCGTTTTACTAGGCTCGTAGCGTTCGTGCTTCGCTATGTCGGGGCGCGAACAGCGTTAACGCTGTGGTCGAACTGTGCAAAAACAAGATCAGCAGATTCTGCCAAATCATCCAGAGGCGTGGCTCTCGTCATTGGTGCGATGATTTGTGCAACAGATTTAGGCAAATGCTCCAGCCATAAACCTCGAAGAACCTTTTCTGATACGTTGTGCTTTTCCCAGCTGGTTCCTCATATATCTGAGAAGCTGGGATGGCGTTTTGTCGCCTCTAGTGACGTTCCGCAGTATCTCTTGGATCATATCTTCCTCGAACGTCCGGTTCGCTTGAGGATTGCTTCCTTTAAGTGATCGTACGGTTCATGCTCGCGCAAATCGGAGAGGACATCAGAAATTTCGTCCATCATATCAGATGGGAGTTTCTGCATTACATTCGCGAATCTGGCTCGCTGTGAAGTAATGCGTAGCATTGAAAAGATGGATTCCACCTGCAAGAACCAGTTCTTGGCATTATGGTGGTATGCAGGCAGAGAGGTATGATCGCAGCCGTCATGTCCAAAGAATCACACTTTTTAGCCGACTCCATTATCGCTTAGCTGTCTCACGTCGGGAAGTCACCACTTGTTGCGGGGCTGAGTAGGATGTCGCCCCCGCAAGGTTTTTTTAAGTATACGATAAATGTGAACAGCCAAGACAATGACGGGACAAAGGCAAAGGTTTTTGTTATGAACAAAGGTGTCGTTTTTATTCACACATTTACATCGGTGTGGTCCGAAAACTGGTTAATCGACGAACGTAGCTGGTTCGGTCGATTGTAGCTGGTCTGGTCCGGTAGTTGGTCTGGCCCGGTAGTTTAGGTTTGGTAGGCGAACGTAGTTGGTTCGGTAGAATGTAGCTGGTCCGGTCGAATGTAGTTGGTCTGGCCTGGTAGTTTAGGATTGGTAGGTGAGCGTAGCTGGTCTGGCCCGGTAGTTTAGGATTGGTCGGCGAACGTAGTTGGTTCGGCCGAAATGCGAAGACGGAGTCCCTAAACAGGGCCAAGGCAGACTAGTGATGCTACTTCACTGGGCGGATCGACCGCGGGAACGGGATTGGCGCCAAAGTGTATCACCAGGCGAAGACGGAGTCCCTAAACAGGGCCAAGGCAGACCAGTGATGCTACTTCACAGGGCGGATCGACCGCGGAACGGGATCGCGCCAAAGTGTATCACCAGGCGAAGACGGAGTCCCTAAACAGGGCCAAGGCAGACCAGTGATGCTACTTCACGGGGCGGATCGACCGCGGAACGGATCGCGCCAAAGTGTATCACCAGGCGAAGACGGAGTCCCTAAACAGGGCCAAGGCAGACCAGTGATACAACTCCACAGGGCGGATCAACCGCGGAAACGGGATCGCGCCAGAGTGTATCACCAGGCGAGGTAGGTCAGAGAGGTGTTACACCTTCCAGGGCGGATCGACCGTGGAGACGGGATCGCGCCGAAGAGTAACACTCTCGACAAAAGCACCGGAAGTTCACAAAGGTAGTGTACTACACTTTGATCCAGGCCTCCGGGCCGAGCTGCCTAGTTTGGGCGAAAAAAAAGTGTCTAAGGATATTTGCAAAGATTTGTTCAAGTACTCCCTGGCTAGAGGAGTAGAAGGCCGTAGATAATAAATTATAGTCTATGGTTGCCGATGTTTAGAATGGCTCAGCATAGTCAGATGCGTACTAGGTATGGTTTGACATCAACGATATTGGACTAGCCGTCCGGTTTCTGGCCTGTTGCTTGACCTAGATCTGCGAGATCGAGAGTTGTGAAGGTCAAGGTCGGCTTTGTAAGGAGCGGATAATCGGCGACCGCGACACCTCTCACTGCTAGAAACCATCCCTCTTATTCCTATAGAATAACTATCTCATTCCTATAAACCTACCGTTATTCCTACAGACCAGCACTAACATTTCTATAAAAAAACCATCTCATTCCTATTGACCAACCCTCTCATTTTCAATGACCAAACAATTAAATCAGCAAAATCTTCTGTAGAATTTCTGTTTAGCAAAACATTACAGGTGTTTAGTCTCTTTAACAGATTTGGTTCCCTTGACATCTAACTATTGCTGCAGATAGTAAAATTTCACACTACAGACTATAAACAAGAAGTGACAGGTGATGGCAATTTCAAAAGGGACAGTGAAAGATGTCTTCAAAAAACTAAGCAAAGACATTGGGAAATATTGTTAAAAAAGCGTACTAAACTGTGTTATATCTAATTTTAATAATGGCACTGAATTCTGAGAGATTTATTTACAAATGATGAAGAGTCTTAAAGCAAAAGAAATGGGTTTCTACCAAGGAATGGTAAGATCACAATAGACAAACATGTGAGCAACAATGAAGGCTTAAAGAAAACATAGGAACCACAAGAAACATATATTTACAATTAGAAATTGACAGCTGAAATTTATTGGAAACTTGTTGAGGAAAAAGAGCCTAGAAAATGTAACACTCCCAAAACATACTGAGGGCAAGAAAAGCAGAGAAAGTATGGATGAATGGATGTGGCAAAATAGGGGTGCAAAGAGGAATAGTAAAGAGTAAAAAAGTACTTGGAGTAATTTACATAATTTATAGTCAGATGAGTGTCTTCATCTTTGTTGTTATTATCACAGCTTTTCAGCTATTGTGCCTTCCGACCTTCTTCAGGTGTCGGTGAATCCAGGTACTCTGCAAAGAATTTTAAACTTAACTCTTTATTCAATCTATAGAGAAAATTGTTCTTATTCCATTTTGAAATTTTTTTGTATGTACAAACATATCAATTTTTTTTAAATACTGGTCCATATCTGATCTTATCTGAAAATAAGAGCAATAACTATAGTCAATATAAAGTACCTAAAATTCAATAAAATATTAGATTATTTAGTTTTAAGATTACAAGGTAGTTAAAAAAAATTATATTAAAGAGATACTCACATTATATTTGTCAAGTAATTTTTACAGATATGTCCCCCATAGAAAAAATAGTTAAATTTCTCAAACATCAGGCTGTCAAAAGAGTCATCAACACATCATAACAACAAATATCTCTGTGTTAAGAAATGCTTTTCTCTGATATTTTAAACTAAAAGTAAGTAACAGATTAATTAAAATTTAAATCACCTCATCTTCCTCAAATAAAGTTTCAGAAAAGCATATTTTATTTTTGAAAGATTTATTAATAAAGATAATTAACTGGTGCTGAGAAAATTGTAAATATGGCTAAAATCTGCCACTTTAGCAATTAAAAAAAAATTCCAATTAATTTAAATTCATTTTGAAATACAGCAAATTTTGCTTACTGAAAATATTAAGTTTAATGTATTAGCTTGAAATTAAAACTAAAATAAAAGCTCCCAAAAATTCTTTCATTTTTCAAAACTTATTTTAAACCTTAGATATCACATTTCTTTGCTGGTATCTACATATATATTATATAAAAGTGTATAAAAATGTAATTTTTATGTTATATATTATATATAATAAAAATACTACCTTATTGATATAGTATAATTATATACTAAAATTCTACATCTTTTATTATTTTACATTATCTATCATAGTCACTTTCCCACCATCATAATGTAGCATTATCTGTCCTCCCTATCTTCAAATATTTTTATTTCTTACCACCTCCTAATTTATTCATGTCATGCACCTTGTGAAACAGACTCTCAATAAGTTGTTTCCCTGATTGCTACAATCTTAACCTGTTCAAGTCTAGAGTTAACCATTATCCTCCAAATATATCTGTATAAATTATGCCACTTACTCTATAATGCTCTACTTCAAGTGGCCCTTGGGCCATGTACAGGGTGAACATCACTGAAAAAAGGTGCATCTTGTATATTACCAAATACGATAATAGAACCACTTCCAAAGTCTGATAAAAGCAAACATTTAAGAGGTAAGGAATAACCATATAAACTAAATTAATGAAAGGAGCACTTGAATTTTTATGATAAAATGCAAAATGGTAATGTCAAAACATGTTTGAAAATTGCTTTGATTGGATATCATAGAGGATATATATGGCCACTTTCTGACCTGTGATTGACATTAGATAGTTTGCTGATCTGACCTTGGATATCATAGAGGATATATATGAGCAAGTGGTTAGAGTGCTCACTTTCTGACCTGTGATTGGATATCATAGAGGATATATATGAGCAAGTGGTTAGAGTGCTCACTTTCTGACCTGTGATTGGATATCATAGAGGATATATATGAGCAAGTGGTTAGAGTGCTCACTTTCTGACCTGTGATTGGATATCATAGAGGATATATATGAGCAAGTGGTTAGAGTGCTCACTTTCTGACCTGTAGACCTTGGCTCAAATCTGACCATGATCAATTTGTCAGGAGGATGGCTTCTTGATGTTATTGGTAGAGGAAGGTGATCCTAGTATGCAATAACTTTGGAAAGTGCCTGAAAAACCATACTATGTGTTGACCTAAGCCTTGTGCATGAAATTGGTTAGAAGGAACTATTTGGAAGATGTCAATGGTTGTGTTAGCGCAAAGTAACAAGTCATCATGACTGAGGGTTTGAGTGCATTAGCTTTATTCAAAAAGCCAATCATGCCAGATTATGTACTATTCACCAGAAACTTTAACTAAGGTCTACTCAGCATAGTTAAAGAAATAAACCATAAAATGGTGTGGAACAAGCACAAATGTGCCTGAGCAGACATCTGTGACAGGGATTTTCTAGCTGCCCTAAAAGATGGCTGTGGTAAAAAAATTGAATTACCAGTTATACATATATATACATATATATATATATATATATATATATAAGTGAATATTGAAATCAACACTCAGAGGCAACAGGCTGTTTCATGCTAGATGCAATCGTCTGGCCAATGATTGCGTTTAGCACGAAACAGCTTGTCGCCTCCAAGTATTGACTTCAATGTTCACTTTTATATTTATATTTACATATGCTCTATCTCTGATATTGAGCACTTTATTCCATAAATATAGCACACCTTAAAACTATATATTATAGATGCGGATAACTGGCAGGAAAAAGAAAGGTAAGAAATAACCTATTAGAAGAAAGATTCTATTAAAAGAATTCTGACTTGGTATGGTTGTAACCTAGAAAGGTTTACTGAATGAGGAATAACCAAAACGGAGGTTGGAAATGGAATGGTAATCTTTATAACATCAACAAAATACAATACTCGCCAGCAGCATGAAGTAGGTAAACCACTGCTAGTGGTGGACTACTTAGACAGCATACTACTTAGACAGCATACTACTTAGACAACATATTACTCCCAACTTACAATAGTGTCCAATGTATTTATAAGGATTGGAACATACCC